TGAAGAGAGAAAATGCAATTACAAATGTTGAATGTTTTATGTTGAAATAACTAGCAAGTAACTCCTTTTTTGGGGTCATAAATCATTCCAACTATTGAGTAATTTTTTTCTATTTAGCAAAATAATATGCTAGGCTTGGAATTAAAGGGCAAAATGTGATATGGGGGGAGGGTTGTCATTTGGCATCTGCAGGAAATATCTTAAACCAAACACACATTTTTACATAATCATCTGCAAAGGGCAGTCACATGACTGGAGAAAAATCTTAAGTTTTGGGGATATACTACTTGCATGCTCCCAATTCCGTTTTGGCCTTCAAATCTGAATCTCTGCACAACTCTGAGAATTATTTGCTAGTTGTATTACTAACCATATTGTACCAGCCTGACAATCTGCTATGAAAAGAAAAAACACAGTAGTAATAAAAACACACTTCGTCTTCACAGTGGGTAATAAACAAGTTTAATGACACTGCCAACAATAAGCAATGCAAACAGATGAAATTTTCAGTATATTGAATTACAGCTCCTTCAATTAAAGATGATACCAAGAACTTGGGTGGTTGCAACCTTCAGAGAGTGTAGTATTTTCCAACTTTTAAGACAAAAATCCAAGAGAATTGACCAAGTGATGCCACTTCCATACCTCATGTTATAAATGACCCATAATGAGTTTGCTATGTGTGCATCCAGGAAAATTTCACAGATTTCTAAACTATATTACCAATGCATTACTATGTATGTTGTGACTAGTCTGTCAGTGACTCTCTTCAACACTAAATATTTCACAACATGGTGGATTTTTATTTGAAATAGATACAAAGCTTACCAGGTGAAACTTTTTGTTGAAACCTAAAGTGATGGTTCTAAATACTGCTAACATTGGCTCATTTCTTTAATCCTGGCACACAAAACATGCAGGTATCAAACAACTGTCTTTAGCTTAAACAAATGGCGTTTGGGAGGAGTGAGCCCAACTAACTAAGCAACGTATACACAAAGACTCAGAACAGGTGAGTGGCACCACAAAGTGAGTTGCACTGGCATTAGCATTCTGGTGGGGAAAAAAGGTTCACACTGCACAGTTTGGGAAAGATCTGTTCAGTACACTGGAGAGAAATCCAAGTTTTGTGCCCATATTGAGCTTAGGAAACAAGCTATTTATTCCAAAAAAATGTCCTGCAGAACTCAAAAAGAGGTTGTTTTGCTTTTGAGTAAACATTTTCCATCAATGAAATGACATAAAATGTAATTTTTCATCAAGATTGGGGCAGTCCAACATGCCCAATGATGTAATTCTAACAAGGTAGAAATAAACGGGAGATGCATCTCTAAACTCATTCCTAGATGGTTCTTCCCCTGCCCCCTCCAGCCCAACTCTGATTGCACAATGCTTTTAGACCAGGGGCGTCAAACTCATTGAGTGCCACATCAGGGTTGTGTTTGACCTCGGGGGGCTGGGGTGGAAGGGCCAGGGTGTGTGGGGCCAGCTTGATGACACTCCTGTCAGGGGTGTCTGTGGTGACCCAAGTGCTCTGCCAGTGAAAACGGGTTCCCGACCTCTGTTTTCAGCTGCCACGGCCTCCTGCAACCCTCTGCCAGTGAAAATGGGCCCTACCAAGCTGTTTTCAATGGCAGTTGCAGGAGGCTGTGGCAACTGAACACGGAGCTCGGGAGCCCATTTTTGCTGGCAGAAGCACCATGGGCCAGTCCTTTGTTGTTTCCAGGGTGGCCCTGCAGGCCAGATTTAAGTATCCTGGGCGCCGGATCCAGCCCCCAGACCTTGAGTTTGACACTCGTTTTAGACCTTTCCAACATAAGGGATTTCCAAACTACAGAAAAAGATCTTGACTATGTATTAGAATGGTCAAACAAATGGCAACTTCAAATCTCAACAAATAAATGCTCTGTCCTACCTATTGGCAAAAAAAATATATCAGAAAATAAAATACAGGCTGAATAGTCAAGACGTTGTTGATGATCCAAACTCTGTCAAGGATCTTGGAGTACTCATCTCTAATGACCTAAGTGCTAGAGCCCACTGTAACTACATAGCCAAAAAGGCATTAAGAGTTGTTAACCTAATCCTACATAGATTTTTCTCTGGTAATATCACACGACTAACTAGAGCATTCAAAACATTTGCTAGACCAATACTTGAATACAGCTCATCAGTCTGGAACCCACATTACGTATCTGATATTAACACAGTTGAGAAAGTCCAGAAATATTTCACAAGAAGAGTTCTCCACTCCTCTACTCGTTGCAGAAGACTTTATGCCACCAGACTTGAAATTCTAGACCTAGAAAACCTAGAACTACACCGCCTTCAGTCTGATCTAAGTATAGTATATAAAATCATACACTGCAATGTCCTACCTGTCAATGAATACTTCAGCTTCAACCATAACTACACAAGAGCAAACGATACAAACTCAAGGTTAATCGCACCAATCTTGATTGCAGGAAATACGACTTCAGCAACAGAGTGGTCAATGTCTGGAATATTCTACCTGACTCTGGGGTTTCTTCCCCAAACCCCAAAAACTTTAACCTTAGACTGTCTACTATTGACTTCACCCCTTTCCTAAGGTCTGTAGGGGGTGTGCATAAGTGCACCAACATGCCTACTGTCCCTGTCCTATTGTTTTTTATTTTTTATTTTTCTTATATGTATCCATGTATTCATAACTAGATTTTTACTTATACCTATTATCTTGTAAACAATTGAAAAAAACAAACACATAAATAAATAAATAAAATAAACTGGAAACCACCAAACACAGATAGTGGTAAGAAGAGAAGTAAGAGCATAATACTGGATTTGCTTTCCAAGGCCAGAGATCTCCTTCTGACCTTGGGAAGCCATCTTTAGCCCCAGCACATGAATAAATTTGAATATAGTGAACACATGGTACAGAAAAGTGGTAGTAACAAAAAGCATTACAAGTAATTTTCAGGGATAACAAAAAAGTTGAGATTAATTCTTCAATCACCACTGAATATCTCCATGATTCATTTGGGAAGAAATAGGAAATAATTTCCTATTCCTTTTTCCTGGGTTTCTTCCCAAGCTAGTTTATAACTATGGTCTCCTTCTAAGCGCTAAGCAGCTCTTGACACTGCTTAGGTCTTTCATATCGGGCCAAGTTGGCTGGGTGCAACCACTTTCTATTTACAGGTAAACCATTAAGCTTCAGCTACCCAAAAACCCCTCTAATATAGTCCTAAACTGCATTAACAGAGATATAGAATCAAAGATTATGCAAAGTGTTAATACCACTTTATTATGCCCTGACAAAATCACACTTGGAATATTGCATCCTGTTTTGGTCGCCGTACTATAAAAAAGATGTTGAGATCTAGAAAGACTAGAGAGAAGAGCAACAAAGGTGATTAGGGGACTGGAGGCTGAAACATATGAAGAATGGCTGCAGGAATTAGATATGTCTAGTTTAATGATTAATGTTCTAATATCTCAGGGGCTGCCACAAAGAAAAGGGGATCAACCTATTCTTCAAAGCACCTGAAGGCAGGACAAGAAGCAATGGATGGAAACTAATCAAGGAGAAAAATAAACCTAGAAATAAGAAGAAATTTCCTGGACAGTTGGAACAATTAATCAGTGGAACAACTTGCCTCCAGAAGTTGTGAATGCTCCAACACTGGAGATTTCTAAGAAGGGATTGGAGAACCATGTGTCTGAAATAGTATAGGGTTTCCTGCTTAAGCAGGGGGTTGAACTAAAAGCTCTCCAAAGTCCCTTTCAACTCTGTAATTATAGCTTAACTAAATAATACATATGTTTGTGCGTCAAGTATAAAGCTAAAAAAATAGCTGTAGGTCAATCTTCCTTCTCCTTACTACAATGCTAGTGAACACATTTTATCTAATGATCTTTCACTGGAACCCTCTTTAAATCTAGACTCATTTCATTTGGGTGGGTTGCAGTGGACTAGGCCCTAAGATAAACCTGTATGGCTTATCATACTATAAATATGTCTTATCTTCCACATCTATTATCCACTGGCTGCCTCTGTTCCTTCTATCATCCATGCTTCACTGCCAATACCATCTGAGAAATACTCTTCTAGCTAAAAGTATAAGATGAACGGAAATTAAGAGTACAAATATTGTTAAAGCTGAAAGTACAGCAGCAACAACATGAGAAAGCCAATGTTAAGAACAGGGATATGCCTATTCTGTCCTTATAATAGCGTAGACTTCTTCAGATGACTGTCACCTGCAGAGCTGAGAATTTCTCTCTCTCTCTCTCTCTCTCTCTCTCTCTCACACACACACACACACACACAGTCTTTGTAAAATACACAGCAAGCTAGGTCAAAGGTCTGATAAAGCAGAAAAGCAGAAGGTAGATCGAATAAGCTGTATGTCTTTATAAATGCCGAAGAAGAGAAAAATTATCTCTAGACTGTTGTGCTGTGCTGATTTTCCCTTTGGGGGAATCTGTATGTAAAGAAGTGTCAACATGTATAGTCTTCTCATCTGCTGTAGTAGTCAGCATTATCATACCAAGCAACCATCACTTCATTCTATGTGGACCAGACATGAGAATAAATAATTTGGATAAACAATCTGTTTCCTATACTTCCTCACTGTTACTTATTTCAGACCCAGATTATTCTGTAGTTTCACATACCTACTGAATTCATATCTACCCATGCACACACTGTGTAGATAAAAATGGCAGGTTTTTTTTTTTACCAGCAACTATTGAAACAATCACATATAGATTCATATTGACAGAAAGTCAACAGTATAAATAGTATTTGATCCAACAATTCCCTGTGTCATTTATCACAAATAAAATATACACTCTCATAGATTTAAAGTATCCCAGTTCAGACAGGCAAGAGGAATGAGCATTTCTGGTGAAAAATATTTTCATTTTTCTTTTCAATTCAACTGGAATTATAATTATATAATTCCAGTTTCCAATCTACTCTCTTGTTTATTACAGATGGTGGATCATTTTTGAAGATACCCTCTAGAGATCAAGCTGGTCTTTATAGTGCAACCCAAAGCATCTTTGCCCAAAATGGGACTTACAAGGCTAACTCCAATCCCATTGTGAAAGTCTACTTCAGACAGTGGGATGAATTGGGCAGCAAGTTGGAGCCCAGTCACTTTGTGACTCCCTGTTGGCGCAGTCACCTCACCACACTTAACAAACAGAGGTCTACTGCTCCAGCTGATTACTGTTCAAACATTGCCTCCTCCAGATCAGGATTGTTGACTGGGCAACAATCACGGGTGCTGTAGGCAGATGACACAGCCATGCTCCAATATGTCATTTTAAGGATTCCCTCAACGACATATTCTGTCACATAATTCTGATGTCCAGGGAAGGCATCTGCAGGAGTGGGAGAAAGGAGGCTAGAAATGGATCCCGAGGCCACCCCTTGGGTCTTATTCTTAATTATGAAACATGACTGAAGCTTCACACAACCTTGTTCCACTGAATCATGCTTGGGATTGCACTGCAAGGACAACTTGTATTTTGGTTACCATCTCAGTGTTATTCAGTGTTGTGACTTATTGTGTTATACCTGTGGTAGTACAAATCACATGTGAACAACATAATATTGGTTAATATCTTAAAATATACAATAAGCAGTGTCCTTTTGTGATGATCCTGTAGTAAACAATGTTGAAAAACACTATTTCTCGGATGTATGGAGTCTCATATCATGAGAATATAATTTGGTATCAGCGTACTGACTGGTTTGAATATGGCTTTCATGAGAACTTACTTCAGAGTTAACTTAAACACAACCCTATGCTCAGTTATGAGGAAGATCCATGAATTTAGTGGGACTTGCCTTTCTGAGTAAACATGCATAAGATCAATTCATTTTCTCTTGAGAAATGAAAAACAATATAAATTCATGTTCACAGTTACAATGAATGAGCCACAACAGGATATTAAATAAGACACCAGTCAATTAAGCAGAAAGCATTGATCATATATTCCATAATGATCCTTGGCCATGACACAGGATATTTCAACAGACAAGTCACAATGCCACACGCTGCACAGACAGTTCACTTTAGGTCCCCATCGGTCTCTCCTTGAATTGACTTTTTAATGCGGAGTAACATGGTTGTGAGCCATTGATCCAAGCGGGATATTGAATCAAATTCTTTAACCTAGTTAAGAGGTAAACGATCAGGTGATGTAGCATCAGCACAGAATTCAAGTTTTCTTTGTGTGTGTGTGTGTGTGATTTTAAGAATTGTGCCCAAGAAGAAAACTATAAATATAGCACCATTGTTTAGTTAGAGGTAAGTAGAAAAAAAATAACCGTACATATTGCAAAACCATTCAACACCACCAACCCACTCGTTTGAGCAGCTTTAAGAATCTGGGGTGAGAAAAACGGCAATGTTTTTCAGCTTCCTTTTTACCTCCCCCTTAGTAGAAGAATTTCCTGCTGCAGGAGGAGTGAGACTGCATCACACCTGTTCTTATGACCACCTAGAATACAAAGCATCCAAGAATAATAATGGGCTATTTGAGGAAGAACAAAATTCGTTTTCTAGCTTTCCCCTCTCAGCAGGGGTGGGATTCAAATTTCTTAACAACAGGTTCTGTGGGTGTGGCCTAATTTGTGGGTGTGGCTTGCTGGCCATGTGACTGGGTAGGCATGGCTTGCTGACTGGGCGTGACTTGGTGGTCACATGACTGCGTGGGCATGGCTTATATGTAAATATTGTAAGTATTTATATAAATATTGAATTTTTTATTTAAAAAGATCAACTTTTACCCAAAATCAGGCAGAGCAGGCAGGCAAATTGAGTTGCTCACAGAATCACAGATTCACTTAAAGATCTACCATTCTGCAATCTGCTACCTGAGCGTGCACTGAAAAATAAAAGCGTCAGTCCTAAGGAAGGTTCAGCTGTTTTTAGATTAGCTAGAAAGCAAGAAATCCAACGATTTCCTGCTTTCTAGCTAATCTAAATCTCTAGTCAGAAAATAAAAGGAAAAATAGCAACTTACCAAAAATTAGGCTAATGTAGGCAAGTTGGATGGTGTGCATGCCAGGTAAGGAGTGAGGGGGCGGGGAGGAGAGGGACAGGACCAGCCAGTGGTCCGATTTGCCAGTTTTCTGAACTGGGCAGAATCATAACAACCGGTTCTATAGAACCGGACCGACCAGGTAGAATTCCAGCCCTGCCTCTCAGCCACCAGCAGGTTGACAAATACCATTACAGACTAACTGCACGCTTACTTACAAGGCTGTTTCCCTATGAGGCTGTAAGTTCTTCTCCCCATTTGACCCTAGATAGCCCAGAAATTAATCAGATGACCCTTAATAACCAGAGAGGAGTATACATGTTCCATTGAGAAAAGACAGCAGAGTATTTCCACCCAACGAAGTTTCCATGAAACAAGGAAGCAATTGGAAATGGATCTCCCAACATGTCCGGCCCTACTTTAGCACTGAATTTATTTATTTATTTATTCCATTTATTTAACTTATTCAGAAAATTTAAATACCAAGGCAAAGTATGATGATATCGTCATCAAAATATTACCGTGTTTCTCACAATATAAGGCCGGGCCTTATTTTATTTTGACCTCCGAAAAAATGGCTAGGCCATCTTTTCGGGGGTGAATTAATTTCCTCCCCCACCTAGAGCAGCGCATATGCACGTACCTCACCACAACGCTGCTTCTATCTGCTTCTATCGGTACAAGCGGCTTCGGGGCGAGCACACACACACACTCTCCTCGCCATGAGGCTGTTTCTATCGGCCGATCGAAGTGGCTGGTGACTGCACTTGGGGAGCTTCCATCGCCTGAAAGAGACTGCCTAAAGGCGAGGGGACACAGGCAGCCACACCATGCCCTGAAGCAGCTGGGGACTCTGCCTTTGGGGAGCTTTCGTCGGCTGATAGAAGCGGCCTCGCGGCAAGGGGAGTGTGTGTGTGTGTGTGTGTGTGCGCGCTCGCCCTGAGGCCGCTTCTACTGGCTGATCGAAGTGGCTGGTGACTGTATTTGGGGAGCTTCCATCGCCCAAAAGAGACTGCCTAAAGGCGAGAGGACATGGGCAGCCATGCCACACCCTGAAGCAGCTGGGGACTCTGCCTTCGGGGAGCTTCTATCGACTATTGGGGTATTCTAGCCTAGGCTACCTGCAGGGCACTCCTAAAGGCAAGTTTTCTCCCCACTCACCCCCACCCTTCCTCCCATTTCTCTTCACCTCGTGTAGTTCTAACAAACAATGTGAGAAATGGCGTGGAAATGCATCGTTTAAATAGGCCTAAATTTTTGGGGCGGGGCTTAAATTCACCTCATGCCTAGAAATCATGCTGGGCCTTCCTATTGGTGGAGGCCGTATTGTCGGAGAAACACGGTATACATAAACCTCTCATTTCAAGTTCTACAAGTCAAATGAGTTAGATTCAAATCAAATTAGCTCCCTTGAAATTAGTGAAACAAGTTAATCATAATTTCAAAGCCAACTGCTTTCAGTATAAACTAAATTTTACAGAGGGTGCATCTGACACCCATTTAACTAAGACCTACTGAATTCCAACTAGATGTACATCAGGTTAGACTGTTATCGATGCTTCTGTTGCTTGATTGTACCAGTTGCCTGGTTATGTTTCAAAAATGCTCATGAGACAAAAAGTTGATTTTTTTCTGATCTGAAACGGTGCAAATGTAATTGGTGTAATTTCATTAAAATAAAGGTCTACTTACTGCTTCAGTGTATGCTTCGCTATTTTGTTCTTCATGAGCTTCCAGTAATTTCTAGCAAGACAATATAACAAGGTTACCAGCAAAAATGATCTTCTTATTACAATTTTTATGAAGGATAAGTATGTGAAAGAACTCCATTTATATTCTCTACAAGTGAAAAACCCCGATGCATTATGTGACGAGACTTTTTATAAAATATCTAATTATTGAGAGCCTTCAACTAGAAAAAGCCATTAATATCCAAATCTTTTCTCCCCAGTCCTATTCAGACCATCAAATCTTGTATCTTGCTAAAGTGCTTGCAGTTACTCCCACACAGGGGTGGGATTCTGCCAGTTTGGACCGGTTTGGGCAAACCCCTAGCTCCGATGATCAGCTGGCTCTAAACTGGTTCGCTCTGACAATCATGTGGGCCTGCCCGCCCCTGCGCTGCACTCACCTATATCTGCTCAGCTGATTCGCGCGGCAGAGCAGATTGCCGTGCCTCAGCTGTGTTACTTCCCCAAAGTAACACTGAAGGGAAGTAGTTTTGGAAGCTGTGCATGTTTGCAGAGCACGCGCGAAGCGCGCGTTTAGCGAACCGGTTGTTACACCGGCAGCATCCAACCACTCTTAACCTACATTCATGCCAATGAATATATAACATAGCCCTATGGTATGGTCTGTCTGTCTGCCTATCCATCTATCTATATCTGTTTATCATCTATTTCTATCTATCTACCTACCTACCTATATCTATCTATCCTCTATCTCTATCTATCTATCTATCTATCTATCTATCTATCTATCTATCTACCTATTTATCTTATCATCTACCTACCTATCCCCATCATCATCTACTTTATCTCACTTTTAATTCTTAGATTGATAAAAAAAATCCTATAAAACTTTAATATTTTCCTCAGCTAATCCCCATTTTACTTGCAATGGAATAGTGCAAATGTACTTCAGCTATCTTATCTTTAAGCAGTTCATAACCATCATAACTTCCCTTTGAACTAAGGATTTCTGTCTATTGGATTCCTCCTATTACTTCTTTAGGCTTGTTGAAACCAGAACTTCTGAAATCTCTAGTATGCATGTTCAATTATTCTCCAATTTCTCTTTCCGTAGTACTCTGAGCAAGAGGACAAGTTCATTTCCTTTTAAGGTCTTCACTGCTTTTATTTCTTCAGCTCATTCCTATTGTTTAGAAACAGATACTGTATAAAAGAGCTGATAGCAATGGCACTTCTTCTAACTTCTGAAAAATGAATCGGACAGCAAGATCAATGAAGCATTATTGGCATTTTCTTGTATTGGCTGTTAGCTTTGAATAAATATCCATATACAGGTGAAACTTGAAAAATTAGAATATCATGCAAAAGTTCATTTATTTCAGTAATGCAACTTAAAAGGTGAAACTAATATATGAGATAGATTCATTACATGCAAAGCACGATAGTTCAAGCTATGATTTGTCATAATTGTGATGATGATGGCTTACAGCTCATGAAAACCCCAAAGCCACAATCTCCGAAAATTAGAATATTACATGCAATCAATAAAACAAGGATTGTACATAGAACAATAGCGGACCCCTGAAAAGTATAAGCATGCAGATGTACTCAGTACTTGGTTTGGGCCCCTTTTGAAGCAATTACTGCCTCAATGAGGCGTGGCATGGAAGCTATCAGCCTGTGACACTGCTGAGGTGTTATGGAAGACCAGGATGCTTCAATAGCAGCCTTCAGCTCTTCTGCATTGTTCGGTCTCATGTCTCTCATCTTTCTCTTGGCAATGCCCCATAGAGTCTAAATGGGGTTCAGGTCAGGCGAGTTTGCTGGCCAATCAAGCACAGTAATCCCACAGTCATTGAACCAGGTTTTGGTGCTTTTGGCAGTGTGGGCAGGTGCCAGGTCCTGCTGGAAAATGACGTCAGCTTCCCCATAAAGCTTGTCTGTGGAAGGAAGCATGAAGTGCTCCAAACTCTTCTGGTAGATGGCTGCGTTGACCTTGGACTTAATGAAGCACAGTGGACCAACACCAGCAGATGACATGGCTCCCCAAATCAACACAAACTGTGGAAACTTCACACTGGACTTCAAGCATCTTGCAGTGTGTGCCTCTCCCTTCTTCCTCCAGACTCTGGGTCCTTGGTCTCCAAATGACATGCAAAAGTTGCTCTCACCAGAAAAGAGGACTTTGGACCACTGAGCAACAGAGCAATTCTGTTTTTGTTAAGCCCAGGTAAGACACTTCTGATGTTGTTTGTTGTTCAGGAGCAGCTTGACAAGAGGAATATGACATTTGAAGCCCATGTCCAGGATCTGTCTGTGTGTGGTGGCTCTTGATGCACTGACTCCAGCCTCAGTCCACTCCTTGTGAAAGTCCCCAACACTTTTGAATGGCCTTTTCCTGACAATCCTCTCCAGGCTGCGGTCATCCCTGCTGTTTGTGCACCTTTTTCTTCCACACTTTTCCCTTCCACAGAACTTTCTATTCATGTGCTTTGATACAGCACTTTGGGAACATCCAACTTCGTTTGCAATTACCTTTTGAGGGTGTCAATGATGGTTTTCTGCACAACTGTCAGGTCAGCAGTCTTTCCCATGATTGTGATTCTTACTGAACTAGACTGAGAGATCATTTAAAGGCTCAGGAACCCTTTGCACGTGTTATGGCTTAATTAGCTGATTAGAGTGGGACACTTTAAGCCTAGAATATTAAACCTTTTCACAATATTCTAATTTTCAGAGATTGTGGATTTGGGGTTTTTATGAGCTGTAAGCCATAATCATCTCAATTATGACACATCACGGCTTGAACTATCTTGCTTTGCATGTAATGAGTCTATCTCATATATTCGGTTCACCTTTTAAGTTGCATTACTGAAATAAATGAACTTTTGCACAATATTCTAATTTTTTGAGTTTCCCCTGTACTTGAGGATTCCCATAATTATGATGCCCTTCTTTTCTTTGGTGTCTCTAAATACTAGAGGAAGACATTTAGCAGATCTTCCGAATGGATTGTCTATTAGTAATACCTCCCAATCTTCCTAACATCTTTGGTGCTTCCTTTTCTTGTGTTTTCACAAAAATGCTTTTGACTGGAGCCTCAAACTTAAATACCTGAATCTCAATATATATGGGCGCTGTTTTCACATATGCCACTCTTTCTTCCCTTCTGTCTGGCCTATTCCTTTTGAATAGTTTTATGCTTCAATCCCTGCATTTCACTTACAAGTTTCGTCCATCTGGTTTAGCAATGCCTCCTAAATTATATTTGCCTTCCTGCATTCAAAATTTTGCTTCCTCCTGTTTCCCTATGCTATGCATTTATAGAGCCACAATGGAATCCTTGGCTCACATGACTTGACATTTAAGACAGCTATTTGTTTGAGTCGGTATAGGTTGTAGGGTCCCCTGCTTGGGCGGGGGGTTGGACTGGGAGGCTGCTGATGTCCTTTCCAACTCTGATACTCTGTCCTGTTATTTCTCTATGATCATGTGTATCCACCCCATCAAGCCCCCACAAAAGTCTGAATGGTAGTAGGATCTCCTGCCACGGGCAATGGGTTGAGAAATAGAAGACCTCCAAAGTCCCTTCCAACCCTTCTATTCTGTGTTCTATATCCTGTCTTGTTTCTATGTGCTCATTATTAAGCGATTCTCCATCCTAACTACTCTTCCCAATCCCAGCATTTCTAGACTGTAGCCCAACTCTAGCTAGAAGTCCCCCATTTCAGAAACGCAACCCAGTGAATCCAAATCATTGTCACCGGCACTATCTGTGTACCCCGTTGTCCATTTAAAGCATTCTTTCTTTGACAGGAAAGAGTGAAGCAAACAGCAACTGTCCCTCCAACATAACTTTTCAAAAACTAGTGCCTTGTAGTATCTTTAAGCCTATGTGATGCATTCCCATGTGTATTACTAGCATGGGAAATTTGTTAGAGGAGCTAAAGAGTCTTGGGAATTCTTCCACCATGTTCCAAAAGAAGAGCATTGAAAATAATCAGCTTCTTTATGTTTTATAAGATCTTTTAGGGAATGGTTTCATCCATTTTAAGAGTTCCAGTGGAATAATGAGAGATGATCTGCCTCCTGACTTGCAGGGATTTGAAATCAGCCTGAAACATACTCCACATAGCTAATTTTTAAGTCGGACCAAGAAATAACTGGTTACTTTTTAACATGTAAATTGGGATGGTCATTCTTCCTCTCTTTTCACAGTGTGACCATAATCCTTCATCACTGTTTCATAAATATAATACTTCTAACGAAGACTAGCAATTATCCATCAATTATGTTTTCAACACAATTAAAAAAAGTATGTTGTTTCACTTACTTTCAATAATTTACATTCCCTTGAATCTGTGAAGGCTGGGAACATTTCTTCATATTTCTCAAGAGCCAGCTGAAAAATAACAACTGCGTTTACTTCATATCAAACAGTGTTATCTCATAATAGATGTTTTCTCAGAAAACTAGCCAACTCTGCCATGTTGAATAGCCATTCGACACCATGACATACACAGGTTAGGCTCAAAACAAAGTCACGTGTTTTGATGAATCTGAGTGGCCGCATGCCTGCCTTTCGTACAGTGACAAATTGAGATATTTTAGGATTACACTAAACCACATTTAAGAAGAGAAAACCTCCCAATATGTTTTTCAGAAATGGAACTGCATGACATGTTCTTCACTTGAGGAATAACAGGGAAGAGAATGTCAGCTACACTAGGTGGACCGGATCAGATCCACACGAATGTTAACATTATGTTTGTTGAGAGTGGCTATAATAACAGAATCTTGCAGATCTGATTGTGCTGAACCTCCTCTTTCTGCTTATATTTCAATGAATTAGGGAGGTGTTCATCTGAGCTGCCTCTGAATACTATAGAGTATAACTATTGTGGACTTAAAATATGTTTCACCCCTCATCACTTTGATAAAAAAAAACTTTCCATACATCTCTGTCAAGGCCACCTTCCTTACTCCCTACAGAGAGATTGCTTAAGCCCGTCCCATCCCACAATTAGTCCATTAAAAGTCACTCAAGCAAGCTGCCATTTTCTGCTCAGAAAAAATACTATGAAGTCCATATTTACAGCTTAGGTTGAGTTCTGTCTGTGTATCTCCTGCACAGCAGGTAAATTGATTCTCAACTTGCTATGAACTGCAATTCTTGCAAAATGCAGCACTATGTGAATATTATTTGCATTGCACATTGGTATTAGATTGGAAGATTCCATAAAGTAATAGTGATACAAACATCTGCAATGGTCAAACACGAGGCTTTCAGCATATTCAATTGATTTCAGCAAATATGGCCTTGCTGTCAATTCCAACATATATTGTCTGAAATAATGAAAACATGGAACATTGTTTTTGAATAATGAATAAAACAAATATTTTATACTGAATTCAAAACTATGGGTCCGTAGTTGCAAATGACAACTCTGGTTCTAACAGGCACATAATGTGATGACTCAGAGTGTAACACAAACATAACAAAATCCAAAACATAAATAAATGTCCTTTAATGCCTCCAACTTGGCCCCACTGTTCAATAATTCTCATTTGGAGATAAAACGTACTCAAAAATAGTCTTCAAAAGAAAGCAATACAGTCCAAATTTAATGAGCAGATAGAGGTGAAATAAAAAACCAAACAAACTACAATGATGAAATTTCCACAATGGAACAGGAGAAGTATTTACCAAATTCAAGGAGATAACAAGACACAGTCTGTTGGAAGGATGCCAACCAAGATAACCTCAAACCAAAAGAAAACACGCTTTGTCTCCAGCGTTTGCCAGAACGCAGGTCCAAACTCTTATGCAGTTCTCACACCTGCAGCCCATGAAGAGGATCAAGGCCTCTCCTCCCGAGGAGACCATGTCTCTCCCTTATCCTCTCCTCCCTGTGTGCCCTAGGGGATGGGCCTGGGTCCTCCTCTGACTGCTCAGCCGGCCTCTGCCCTTCCCCAGCCTCCACCACAATCTCTGGAGCCACATTTCCACTCCCTGTCGGCTGTTCCTCCTCTCCCTCAGAGTCAGTCTCCACCAGGGGCATGACACATAAAATTGTCAGCTAAGTCATATGGCAAGTTTACAAAGCAATCTTTATCGTTCTTGTGGGATTCCTATGTTTAACTAGGAACATACAGAAAGAGTATTCAGATTAGAAAGCAGAACTTCTGTGATTTCATGCAATAAGAGCAGGCGTTATTGATAATATATAACTAATAAAATATTTTGTTTATTCTTAGGATACTATGGCATTCTGATCTCTATAATTGTAGTACATAAAAAAATTGCACTAACCTTTGCGTTCAACTCATCGACAATAAAGTGACATAAGGCTGCTTTAAAGAAGTAGTCCTTTGCACTGTGCTTGAGCAATGGATTATCCATTGTACTTGTAGCAACCTAGGGAGATAAAAATTACATTTATAGTTGAGAAAGTATGAGAAAAAAACAGAACATGGTTGAAAACAATATTTTAGTTCCTCAAGAATCCCTGTTCTCATATTTGATATTTTCCCACTATATATTTTCCTACAAAAGGACCTATTTTCCAAAGTTTCCAAATGTCACATTGTTCCTTAAATTTCTTGGTAAGACCTGGCATTACAAATACTTTTAAAATTTTATAATACATTTTCCAAACAAGAGGGATTTGCATATATTGAATCTCATGCACATTATTCTTTGGCAAAAGTTCAACAATCAACAGAAATCTTCAAGCATTTCATCCTAGCCAGGCATTCTTATCACATGATCACTTAACATTCATAGTAGTAACTTACAAACTAGATATTAAAGCAGTTTGTAAGGGTAAATGGATTTTTAAGATTTTAAATAATTCCAGAAAGTTTTAAATATTGGAAATGGGGCTGCAATCACTTTATTGCTGAAAAAGCAGAAAGGCTACTAGTGTTTGACAATGCACCAGGCTTAATTTTGGAATATAAATCACCAACAGTGCCTACAATGAAGATTAATTACAAGTCTCCCAGTGCAATTAAAAGAAGAAGAATTTCAAGTTAATGTACCAATCCTCAAGAGAACAAATTTTGGAACTCCAAAATCAAAATGGAAATTGACAATGCTGACATATTTATTTTAAAACTCATATTGAAGAAGCTCTTGAGAAAAGGGGAAGTTTATATTTATTTAATAGACATTCTGAAGAAGAAAAGGGTCTTGTTTTAGAAGATCAAGCTGAAGGCAGTGACTTAAATTTAACAAGTTCACTAGGGTTAGGATGGATTTTTTATTGGTTTACCATACTGTATGTAATTAAAAGAACATTCCAATATATTATTTTTTGCTTATAAAGTAGGTTTGAAAATGGGATGAATAGATAACTGTTAAAATGTGTAAAATATTATTGAAATTAAATTTGGAATGTATTTATATTCAAGAGGAAAAGGGAAAGAAAAAGAAGTTATTGATTTTGGGGTTTTTTTTAATATATAATGCTTGCATAATTCCAAAAAATTGCGAAGTATTATTGAAAGTGAATGTTAAAGTATGCATATCAAAAGAAAGTTTTAAAGCATCAAAAGTAATTGATTTTAGTTATGAAGATGAAATTTCTTAAGAAAAGTTTAGAATCTTAAAAATGAATATTAAAGTTTTTTTCCCTTTAAGGTTAAAGAATTTGAAAGATTATATAGATTTTTGTTAACATAAATGTTGATAGTTTAAACAGATCAATAAGTGTAAATAGAAATATCTATCATTTCCCACAACTGGAGAAAAAACTGGATTTGGTTAAGAAGGCTAATGTAAACTGCTTTAAACAAAGAGATTTGATTTGGTCTTGTTTCTTTTTGGTATATCGCTTCTGGTTTTTATGCTTGAAATAGGAAAAATGAAATATAGAATTTAGTTTGAGGATTTAATCATTTTATAGTTATAGAACTGGCTTGTAATAATGATTGTAAAAAGTTGAGATTGTAAATGTATTAGTATTATACTGTTTGGAAAGAGTCAGAAGTCAAAATCTTTTGCAATGATCTATAGGTCAGGTGTAGGATGAGGGTAAAAGTTTGTTCTCTGAGCTTGTGGGTTAGTTTCTGAACATTTCATTACCAGGCTAGGCAACATCTTCAGCAGAGTTTAGTGAATGTCAGTATCAATGTTCTGTTTATAAGGTCTTCAGGTGCGGGTGTGTCAAGTGAGGATCTGTCTCACCTGTCACAAGTCCCTCACCTGGAGGCCTTATAAACAGAAAAATACTGACAATGACATCCCCTAAACTCTGCTGCAGATATTACCTAATCTGGTAATGAAACATTCAGAAACCTACCCACAAGCTCAGAGAATGAACCTTCACCCACATCAACATCTTTCTCTCTCCTCTTTTATCATTTTTTTAATCCTGTATTCCCCCCTCTTTTTAATATTTATTTTCATTGCATTTTATGCTGTAATAATAAACCTTACTACAACTTCCTTTCTTTAAAAAAGGTTAGTGCCTTAATTAATATGCCTCTGATTTATACTTCTGCTTTAACAAACCAAATAGTAGCATACCTACCTGTTCAAAAATTTCAGTCGCTTTCTGATATTGCTCCAACTGAGCAGCATATCCAGCTACCTTCAGCAGACACTTGTTGGCAGAGCTAGAAGCAAACGGCATAATGAGCTGAAGATCACAGAAATACAGGTAAGAAGATCAAAACGTACCCCTGTCAGGTGGCACTCTGGCTAAAAGGATCTGATCTATCTGAGTTAAGATTCATTTTGTTGCTATTCATACAGAGCCTTCTTCTGATATATATCTGTTCTCGCTAGCCAATTTTCAATTATCATGAGAATAACATTTCTGAACTGTGCATTTTAACATCACGATTGTCATGCAAACAGAATGCCAAACCAAAAGTTGTTTTAGGATCTGAACGTTCTTTTAAAGTGTTAAGTGAGGGAATCATGAAACTTCATGTCATAGTCACATAAGAAAAACAAAACAAAACAAAATAGAATGAATACAGAGTTAGACAATCAGCACTACGATTATCTTTTATGGAAACTTGCCTGTTAGATTCTTCCCCTTTGTAATAGTCTGCAGATTGTTCATAGTGGGCGATGGCCTAAAAAGAATTCAGCATATCCATTTTCAACATTATACTTTGACATTGTAGTGATAGATTAGATAGATTCAGGCCATTTCATTACTGTGTTACTGTAGGGCTTTACAACATTTTCACAGTATCGCCCAGCCATCCCTGGAGTGAGATAAAACCTGTCCACACCACATTTAAGATGTTAAGATGCTAACACCATCCAAGTTGGGTAGTGTTAGCAAGTTTATAGGAAATGCATGATCAAAATGTTGTCATGCCCCTGTCGGAGTCTGAATCCGAGGAGGAAGATGTACAGCTGACAGGGAGTGGGAGCGTGGCTCCATTGGCTGTGGAGGAAAAGCAAAGTCCAGCTGGGCAGAGCAGGGAAGAGGTAGAACAAGGGAGAGGGAGTTCAGAGGAAGACCCAGGCCCGCCCCCTCTTCATTCTAGGGCACGCAGGAAGGAACGGAGAAGAGAGCAATTTGGGATGCGTTGCTTACGGAGAAGGAAAGGGCTCTGATTAGCCATACCTAGGAATGAGAGTTTAAAAGAAATGCATGCTGAGTCTGACAGCTGTTGGGAGCAAATGTGAGTTTATCTTGTGTTGACTTTGTTTATCTGTGTTCCTGGTGTCTTCTCAACCATGTTGAGTTATTGCCGTGCCTTCACTTCTGGACTTCTTGCTCCTGCCCTGTCGGACTACTTACCTCATTTTGCCTTGATTGGACTTATGGTTACAGTTTTGTGTTGACCACGTTTTGGGCTTGATTCTCTGCAGCCAAAGGCTGTTCCTGGGAGAGTTTTTCTCCAGCCAGAGAGTAACCAAACACTGGAGGCAAAGTTGGAGCTAATTTAGGAACTCCTGCTGATTATCCGTAGTGCCTTTGTGCCATGCCCCAGGTCGTCACAGGTGTTATTTTTCAAAACGAACGGGAAACTTTTCACATATACACATATGAAAATATTCCTTTCCTATGTCGTTCACTATACATCCACACAGTGAGAGAATTGATGAGTTAAATCCAAAAGTCATGCTCAGTGATCACCAGGGCCTTTCATTTAGCGGAAGAAAACACATTTGGACAATAGCCATGAAACCTGAAGTGATGGGCTTCCTCAGTACTTCCAAATTTAATGGCACCTCAGCAAAGTACGCCCAGGAATTAAACCCAAGCCCTTTCAGATAAACACACATTGGCTTACCTTTTCAATGTCCACCAGCTCGGATTCATAAATCTCTGCAATAGTAATGTGATGCTTGGCAGCAATAGTAAATCGGCCCTGAGAAGAGAAGAATTTGGCCCAGTGTGAAAGAGGGCAAGCAATGAATACAAACTGAATGCAATTTGAATTTATGACAACACCAATAGGAAAGGTTGTAAATTGGAATCCCAACCTAGCACTTTGGGTGTCTTACCATGTCTGTATAAATATCGATGGCAGCATTTAAGCAGTTGATAGCCTCTGCATTGGATGCATTTGGAGGAAAACAATGAATACAATCAACTCAGGCATCCAAACATAATCATTTTATTAGTGCAAGAAAGTGGACGGTTTGTACCAGCACATTCAACAACTAGATTCTCAGCTATTTTTCTATGCAAGATCTGGTGAAGACAAAACCTCTTCACCTTTTCCTGCCAGCATTGCAGACTGCAGATTTATAGGATCTTTCTTTCTTTCTTTCTTTCTTTCTTTCTTTCTTTCTTTCTTTCTTTCTTTCTTTCTTTCTTTCTTTCTTTCTTTC